CCCAGTTTGCCGCTGTCATGTCAAAGGCACTCATGAATAAGCATGTGTTGGTTCCTTTATAAAAATGGTGAAAATTTGAAGAGCAATTATTATTAATTAATTATTATTATTAAAAAGGTGAATTTATTTCTAACTGACGAAAATCCAGCAGCTTTCAATCTTCAGGAAATGAACCAAAAATAATTGTCACAGTGCTTATAATAAAATGGATGAAATAAACAGGGGAACGAACGACATAAACCAGCCAAACTAGCTCAACTCGCCCATGGAGCTATATGACTCACCACACTGTGAAACAAGTGTGCAAGGACAATGACCTGATGAAACTGAAGAAACATAAAACATACCTTTGTGGAGGCTTTTGACCTCTGTGTTCTTGGTTTCCTTCACTCATTTTTCTCGCAGAGACAAACTCTGTCAACGTTTTTAAAACATTAGCCACTGTATTTACATCTGCCAAATAGCCAAATCAAGGTATGAAAACTATGGAGGTACGATCCTCCAATCAAAACAACTGATCAATGACCGTGAGTTCATTGTCGCCGAGTCTAGCGGCACCGGCTGTACAGCCATCAAATCTCATTATTTTTAAACTCTCGCAAGGAGAGTGACGGCATAATCATGTGACGACTTCAAGATGACGATATCACCACTTGATTAAGCGACATAAGCAGGGACAAGCGACATCGCTAGATTGTGGTTTGGTCCCCGACCTGTTCACATACCTACGTACTTTGTCATTAACATTACCATGATTACCAATGGTGTAGGATACTAAGCTTCAGGACATATTTCAGACGGTGATTGTTACAGTGGAACTGTTACTTACTGAGTCTAGATGATTTCGTACTCGTTCTCATGGGGGTCGACATTGATGTATGGCAAATGTCTGATACATGTAGGCCTAACTTGATGAGGCTGCCTCTCCATCTGCACATGCTGAGGCTGCCTCTCCATCTGCACGTGCTGAGGTTGCCTCTCCATCTGCACGTGCTGAGGCTGCCTCTTCATCTGCACGTATTGAGACTGGCTCTCCATCTCTACTCGCTGAGGCTGCCTCTCCATCTGCACGTGCTGAGGCTGCCTCTCCATCTGCACGTGCTGAGGTTGCCTCTCCATCTGCACGTGCTGAGGCTGCCTCTTCATCTGCACGTATTGAGACTGGCTCTCCATCTCTACTCGCTGAGGCTGCCTCTCCATCTGCACATGCTGAGGCTGCCTCTCCACCTGTACTCGCTGAGGCTGCCTCGCCATCTGCACGTATTGAGACTGGCTCTCCATCTCTACTCGCTGAGGCTGCCTCTCCATCTGCACATGCTGAGGCTGCCTCGCCATCTGCACGTATTGAGACTGGCTCTCCACCTGTACTCGCTGAGGCTGCCTCTCCATCTGCACGTATTGAGACTGGCTCTCCATCTCTACTTCCTGAGGCTGCCTCTCCATCTGCACTTGCTGAGGCTGGCTCTTCATCTGCACTTGCTGAGGCTGCCACTCCATCGGCACTTGTTCAAGTTGAAACTGAACAAGTACACTTTTCAAGGCCCTTCTGATTTCATCCAGTTTGGCCTGATATCTATGGCACCTCAGAACCACAAACACAGTCAGCAGAATGAGAAGAAGTATTGTCCCAAACAAAAGCCAAAATACCACTTTCTCTTCAAATGCATACATTTCCAGGTATTGAAAACAGCTTCAAAATAACTTTAACTTCGTATCTGACAGAACGGCTCCAGGACATGTCATGGATACATATGTGCAGACCACGCGTTTAAAACAGCGCCCTCTATAGTTCAAAGTTTGCCAGGCGTTTACTGCATTCGCGTTGCACACCCTTCAATGGAACTAGCGGTTACCACGCAAAGGGCTGGTTTAATTAGACTATTTATAATCGTTGAACTGTTGACAGTGTAAATTTGTACTGTGTATAGAACTCCAGAAGAATGGAAGCAAAATTGAGGTATGAATGGGTAAGGGAGGGAGAACAGATGAGGGACTTTGCACAGCTTTGTAAGGGTAATAGTCGAGGAACTATTAAAGTTGGACATGTTGGATCATCGTTACTTTGTAAATTCCGTGTAGGTTTCATGAACAGGATGTGACATAAGGTTTTCTTTTAAATGTGATCTTTTCCTGTCTCGTTTTCAGTCTTAGGATTCCCCATTTTTTACCCCCCCTCCAAATGGAAAAAAAGACTGGCCTCATAAAAGGAAGCGGACGTAAACATGGTTTTTTACTTAGTGTAATTTTTAAGGGTTGTATGAAATGTGATCTTTTCCTTTCAGTCTATGAGAAAAACATAATCTTAGATTGTTTTTTCACCACACCAGGACGGCGTATTTTTTCAAGCTTTTGCTTTTTTAATTGAGCCCAACTTGGACTCAAGATGTGACATCAGCCCGGCCGGCCTGTTTTTGAAGATGGCCGTCAGCTTACCTTGCCTAAAATGTTACACAATTATGGGTGCACCACTACAAATAAATTCCCATAGAAAGCAGTGATAAATCCCCATACTTCACAAATATTTTAAAAAAACATGGCCATATTTCGATATGGCCATGTTCCCCACACCACGCACCTGCTTTCAGGGTGCACCCTGGTAATTAGGCCAGAAATATGTCTGCCGAGCTCATTAACCCTAACCCTCCTCAATCCTTCACCTGTTGGAGGATTGAGGAGGGTTAGGGTTAATAAAAGTTATACACTCAAAATATTCTATATTAGAGGGTCCTGAGAGCCATGGAACTGAGGAATTCAAGAAATATGAGACTGGACCTCTGGGCGGACTCAGGGCTTTCAATTCTGAGCAATTTGGATGCAATCGGGTCCGAAAGTGGCACTATTTGAGCCAATTTGCTGAGGGAGGGTTTTTGAAAATTGCTACTTTTCTGGACAAGGACATTTTCTGCATTTTAGGGGTGGTCTGCTTCTGGTGAAAAT